AAGCAGTCGGTGCTTTGAGCACTCGCTGCGAACGTGGGCGGCGCAAGGAGCGCACGTCTGACGGTGGTGCAGACGGCTCCGAAACTTCGGGAGGCATGGAGTCGGGAGCTCCAAACGGCACGGGCACGGCGATCTCAAATGGTACGGGCTCGGGGGCTGCAAACGGCAGCGGATCAAACCTGTCAAATGGCGGCGGGTTCAAGTCGTCAAACGGCGGCGGGTTCAAGTCATCAAACGGCGGCGGGTTCAACAAGTCGAACGGTGGTGGATCGAAACCGTCAAAACGGGGTGCGGCGGACGGCGCAGGCTCGGGCGCGGGGGACGGCGCAGGTTCGGGCGCGGGGGACGGCGCAGGTTCGGGTGAGGCGGACGGTGCAGGCTTGGGCGAGGCGGACGGTGCAGGCTCGGGCGCGGGGGACGGCGCAGGTTCGGGTGAGGCGGACGGCGCAGGCTCGGGTGCGGGGGACGACGCAGGCTCAGGCGCGGGGGACGGTGTGGGCTCCAGCTCCGACTCGGACTCAGATCCGTGGCCAGGCATTGAAGACCCGTTGTCGCATGACTTTGTCTTGCCACGGCCCTTCCGAGTTTTCTTGCGGGGTTTGTCCTTCTCTGCATCATCGGTAACAGGGGAAAGTTTCTCCAATGCCTCCTGCCTGGTCATGCCGGATGCAGTGTACTTCGCTACGGCGGCGTGCACCCCTGACCATCCGTTGGCTATAGAAGAAAGTCAGTGTTATTCACTCAGTAATGGAATGGCACGTACGATAACGCTCCGTAGACCACTTGTCCCACACAGCCTGGAATGTCTTCCACTCATTCTCTTGAGCATTGAAGACGTTATCGAGTGTCGATGTCCCCCCATTGGCATAGCTGTTTGTGTAGATGCGTATGAGTGAGACGGGATTCAAAGGGAATGAGAGAATGCGATAGTTACCTATAAGACCTGGGCACCGACCCGTACTTTGGCTCAGGTCCACAAGCGAAGACACAGAACGACCACCGCGTTTCTTGAGACAAAGAATCAAGTATCTTGGTAAGGATGTTGGGAATGCTTTCGCAAAGACTAGGCACTTTTTAGTAATGCGTTGGACGGCCGGTAGACGAGTACATACTGTTGATAGTCAATCTCATTCGTGCATTGGGTGAAGCTCCACACCGGGCGGTTGCTCCGCCGCCTCGCCCTCAATATCATCCTCGTGGTTGTCGGAATCGGAATCGGAATCAGAGTCTTCTCCGGTAGAGCGATGAGCACTCTTCTTATGACGCAGGCTTTCGACTTGCGCCCTAACATCCTCGGACTCTTTACTCAGCCGATCCGCGAGCCATCGTCCACGAAAGGTGATTTCTTTCACGGCAGTAGCGCCTTCCGCAAGTGTGTCACGATATGCGGTGTATGCGGCTTTGAATTCGGCTTTCACTTCGTTGTTGGTGCGGAAATTGATGAGCGTCGAGTAGGTCTGCCAGGCGTGCGGCACACGCGTCCGCTTCTTTTTCTTGCCGTTAACGCGGCATATCTTCAGCAAGAGCTTGCGACCACCCCGGTTGGTACCACCGGTGCGCGTTCTATTAGCGTAGTATCCCCTCATATACTTTTTTTATAAAAAACACGTAAGTAAGACACCCCAACGTGAAAGTAGTAACATACCTTCAGCATCTTGGCCTTCGAGTTTGCTATAGCGACCGCCCGGTTGTTCTTCGCCTTCTTCAGTTCCTTTTGCGTCGGAACGACGGGAAACTTAGCGTGAAACGCGAGCGGAAGGTCGCGCCACAAGTCATAAAAGCCACCAAAGGACTGGCAGTTGATGTAACGAGGGAGCCATGACTCGAGGAAATCTATCTGGGCCGCAGGTAAAGCGTAATTACGGCCCATAGTCTCAAAGAGAGAGAGAAGTAGCGGAAACGTCAAGAGACTCGTGGCGCTCTGGCTGTTCACACGTGCTGTGCACGTGCAGCTGCGGTTGCCTACCTCATATACTTCCGCGCTCGGCCCCGCGTCGACTTGTTTGCCCCCCCACCATGGCCGTCAAGGGCCAGATGCAAGAGGTAGGCTCTTTGTCGTATTGTTGTGCTCTGCTAATATAATTATCAGCTACAGCGCCTAATGGCAAAGATGCGAGATGTGCTGGAAGAATTCGAAAGTAAGTGCCTCTTTCGTCATGGAACATGCGTTAATATAGAAACATTGTTATACTTAGCTTTCGTCGACAAGTATGGCAGCGAAGATCCCGTCCGCATTAGGGAGATTACGACACCGGCTCGCACGGAGACGCCGCTCTCAACCACGACAACTTCCAAAGCCAAGGGCCGAGCGCAAATACGGGCTGCTCTCCCGCCGCCGACTCCGGAAGAAATGCGTGAGATCAACGCTCTTCACACCAACCCTAAGCCCCCATTTGCTTCGCAAGGTGTGAGGCACTCGGCGTTCACCCCGGTGACTTCGGTGACCGACGACGAATCCGACGACCTCCCCCAACAGGTGAGTCATCTCCATGTGCGAAGACTTACAAGGTATACACGTATTAAAGCTCATCTTGCGCTCTTGCAGGTTCGCTCTCCTGGCCGCCTTGCGATGACTCGCTCTCCGCCACCTGTTCCGATTAGCCGCTCCTATACTTCCTTTAGTTCTAGTCAGCCGAAGCCTGCGGCCAATTCATCCGCCACCGCCTCATCCTCGGCCTTTATGACGAAGGCCCAAATACGCGATACGGTACCGCTTGACCTCCGCTGGTACTCGGTCACCGTGGGCTCCAAGATTGGGGTGGTACAAGGATGGTGAGTGATCTGACTTCGCGCCGATCTACTTCACTGATATTAGGTGACATTGAAGGGATCTCGTTCGTGAGGTTGCGTCGTTCCCCGGCTCGAAAAGTGAATTGCACGCAAGCGACGCGCACGCCTGGAAACACTTTTATCAGGTCTTGCTGAAAGGTTCTGTGCGTGTCCTGATTGACGACGCTCTCGTCGAAGTACCCTCGCAGTTCTTGGAGAGCTTTAGGGACTACATGTTTTAGCCGTTGGCTGGCGTCTGCGTCGCTTATGCCCTCGAACCCGTTTCTCGTATATCGATTGTTCCCTGTTGTCGCGCGTATCACATTGCCTACTCAAATACACGATGATTGGCACATAAAACGAATGACATGGCGCCCGTGAGTTTGAGAGATGAGCAAGTACGCACAGCAAATCAAAGCCGATATCGAAACCAGTCCCGGAACCAACGTAAGA